TTTGAGCCCTAGATTTATTGATTTTTTAAAATTTAGTCCTCTTTCTCATGGTTTCTACTACAATCGAGGTTTTGATATGCGCATGAAAAACTTAGAAAGGTTTTGGAAAAATGAGATTTTGGAGTACATCTAAGACCAAATTTATATTCAATTATTTAGACAAAGTTTATTAAATAACCCATAAAAGATTAAAAAAATTAGAGTGCGGTTTATATAAGGTTGAAGTCCTAAACAATCAATGCAAGGTGTACCTCTAAATAGTGTCAAAAGATAATTTTTTAGTAGTAAAAAAAATTTGTTGTAGCGTGAAAATTTATTTTCATATCTAAATTATAAATGTTAAAGGGTGGATCAAACAAATCTATAAACACTTGAAAATATTGAAAATTGATGGTCCAGATAATACATTACAAGATTCACTATATCTCATACTTGAAATCTATTTTTTTCACATCTATACATCTTGAAATCGAGATGATTGATTTGAGGTCATTGAAACATCTTCTAATGAATTTTTGAGATGCACTTTAATTTGATTGTTTAGGGCTTCAATCTTATATAAACTTTTGTCAAAAAATTTAATACTTTTATATTTAATTGCGAAGTACCTATAAATTGTCTTGTGCATATTTTGCCGAATTTCACTTGTTTTAATTATGGAAAATTAGTTTATTGCCATTTCAAAAAGAGGTTAGAGAGAGAGTCTATACAGAGGCCAAGACTTCATTACCAGAGGTTAGATTTTAGAAAGAGAATGAGGGGAAATGAAAAAAGAGATAATCAGTGCTTTCAATCTCCCAATCTCTCTCAAAGTCTCTGTACGGTTCATAAGGCTGCAGCCTTATCTATTGAGGCAAGGCTGCAGCTTTACCAGAACATTTCCTTTCATTATCCATCATTAAAAGCCAGATTTATGTACTTACCCAAATAAAAAGTTAATGAAACCACACCGAATTCACTTGCATTCTCACGGTGACACATGACCCAAATAAAAAGTTGATGAAGCCACACCGAGTTCACTTGTATCCTCAAGGTGGAAGGCGCCACAACATGACCTGAATTGCGTTGCTAACAGGTCTCACATTAACATTTGAGAAAAAAACTCACATAGATACTTTGGACTATCTTAAAAAAAAAGAAGACAGATTTTTTATTTTTAGCATTCTTCACTGGACAAAAAGGAAAGGATAAAAAGATGGAAAGCTCAAAAGTTTCCCCCCTTAAAGCATTCTACCCTGGATAAAGAGGGAGGGTAGAAAGAGAAAGTTGACCAATGTAGCTTGATAGGAAGGTTCCTTCCATTAAAAGAAGCACATCTTCCAACCAGCTACTCTACCCTCATTCTATAATTGGATCCTAAAGCTTCCCTCGAGTACTCTCTACCACTCAAACTCACAGCTACCATGGCATTAACCACAAACTAAACTACATGATACACTTCCTTGTAGCATCAACGCTTTTCAGTTATTTACTAAGGTTAATTATCAGCTTTAAGACTTGTTCAAAGCACCTACTAGAAATAGAGAATTGAAAGCTCACTCCAATGCAAGGTCACCTAATTTGGCAGCACAACCCAACACCCAATTAACCACAAACTAAACCACATGATACAATTCCTTGTAGCGTCGACGCTTTTCGGTTACTTGCTAAGGTTAATGATCAGCTTTAACACTTGTTCAAAGCACCTACTAACCTACTAGAAATAGAGAATTGAAAGGTCACACCAACGCAAGGTCACCTAATTTGGCAGCACAACCAAACACTGCTCAGCACAACCCAACACCTAATTAACCATAAACTAAACTACATATTACACTTCCTTGTAGCGTTGATGCTTTTCGGTTATTTAATAAGGTTAATCATCAGCTTTAACACTTGTTCAACGCACCTACTAGAAATAGAGAATTGAAAGCTCACTCCAATGCAAGGTCACCTAATTTGGCAACACAAACAAACACTGTCTCAGCACAACCCAACACCTAATTAACCACAAAACAAACTACATGATACAGTTCCTTGTAGCGTCGAAGTTTTCAGTTATTTACTAAGATTAATCGTCAGCTTTAACACTAGTTCAAAGCACCTACTAGAAATAGAGAATTGAAAGCTCACTTAAATGCAAGGTCACCTAATTTGGCAGCACAACCCAACAGTCTCAGCACAACCCAACACCTAATTAACGACAAACTAAACTACATAATACACTTGCTTGTAGCGTCGAAGCTTTTCGGTTATTTACTAAGATTAATCATCAGCTTTAACACTTGTTCAAAGCACCTACTAGAAATAGAGAATTGAAAGCTCACTCCAATGCAAGGTCACCGAATTTGGCAGCACAACGCAAAACTGTCTCAGCAGAGACCAAAAAGCAGAGTGACAAGAAAGGATAATCATGTCTCAGACCCCCATAACAGCTTAATCCTCTTTGAGCCCCACCGATGAAGGTGTAAAAAACATGCAGTAGAACATCAGGTCCATCTCTAACCTATGAGAGTATGCACACCCACCAAATCACAATCTGCTTATCATGAAATCAAGTAGTATGGCCTTTTCCCATATTCAGGCTATAAGTTGTACCTATCCAATCTCATCTATATCCTGAATTTTTAAACTCATGGCCTTGCAAGTGCACGCCAGGACTTGGTGAACTTCTGGAAAGGATCTAGCACAAACAAGGCATGGCATAACCTCTCTTAGATGATAAGATGGCAAGCATCTTTCAGCCAAACTTATGGGTAAATTATGTCATTCACCTTCCTCAATCTCAATCCTCCAAGTAACCATACTCTTCTATTCTATCTAAGATTCATATCTCCTCAAATACATAGTAATACTTGACGACCATGCTTCCACAAAGCCCCTTAATCCACTCCCATAGCTTAGGTTTTTGTTTGTTTGTTGACTTCTGATGGTTCCCCTAGAGTAACGCTTTGTACTAACGCAAGTTGCTAACAGTCTAAATTAGCCCTTCGTTCAACTTACCCCAAAAAAAATAGCCCTTCCTTCGATTTCAAAGAACATCAACCACTTTTTCACCATGCTACTAAAGCTATGGTATTTAAACTAAACAAACTAAAACCTAAAAATGGGCCTCAAACTTATCCACATAAACTCAAAATTATGTACTTCCCTAGGTGCTTCTTTCATTTAGTTCACTCAAATTATCCAACCGCCACCAACCTTCATGTTATTTTTTTCCCCGAGAAATAGCTTCATGTAAATTTCATTGAAGTCAACGTTCCATCCAATGTTCAATTTTTGCAACTTTATACTTCTCCACTTGGTAATATTGCTTTTTGGCACACACTGCTTTATCCCCTTACTCTTTATGCATCTATTACTATCAATTCCATGGTTATTTAGCTTCTTAGATTTCCCCCATACCTAATATTGTTGTTTGTTCTAAAGCTCCCTGCATCAGTTTCAACCCCCAACATCTCAATTGCCTCTTCCAGTCATTCTTGCAGGGGAAAAAAACACTCCAAATGATTTAAGCCAGTTTTTCCACCATTTCATAGTTCAAAAATTCAAATCCCACTTCATTGTTCAAATGTCCACATTCATCTTTCCACTGAATTCACCATCACCCTTCTTCATAGGCTTCCTACAGTCTGAAAACGTCATGCCCTGTATTCTAATAACATTTATCATAAAAGAGATTTCAGCCTTTTCCACTCCCCATAAAACTTCGTAAACAGTTTAACTTCTGCCAAGAGATGCATTCCTTTCTATGACCACTAACCCTTCTGTAAGTGCCACTACCTCAACTCTTCAACCATTTTCACTTCCCAAACGCCTCCCTCCTGTTCTATCACATGCCATGAGGAGTCCATTTCATTAAACACCAAGGACATAGACTTCATAACCTTGTTCCATCAAAAGAGACAGTGGGCTCCCCCTTTTTATTCTATATTGCTCCTGCAATTTCTTTTCATCCACTCGTTATCTAATTGTGAAACGAAATTGTTCACGTTACTCTCATGTTTCTCTATGTCAAAACGTTTTGCTACCCTCCTATTTTCACAACAAGAGCCTCCGCTGAGATTCCCATAAGAGTATCCACTTGGAAAAGCAACTTCATAACTCTATACTATATCCCTCACTGTATTAAGTCCTTTTCTCCACAATAACACTTCCTAAACCTATTAAGGATTATCAACTGTCGGGAAAACAAATGATAATAAAATACAAATGTGTGTATAGGAAATAACTTCTAGAAGCCAATGATTTTATAGCTACAGTGTAGGCCGAGATCCAAAATGCATCAATAGAATATTCTTTTGGGCAGAAATTGTGCACTACATCTTTGGTTTGAAAAATAAACATTTTATTATTAATTTTGAGATATTGAAGGCTCAGATTCACCATCTGCCAAATGGACAGCCTGGGCTCATGGAGAATGATGGTCTCATTGTCCCACTTTTTGTGTGAATTCTTTTTTTGTATATATTTTGGTCTCTAAATGAGATCTACCTTTATGCAAAATTGGGGTCCAACAGATCCCTAATTTTTGAAGTGGTTTACGCTACAGTATAAGTCTGTTGGCTTATAATCTTTTTCCACACACTCACAGACTAAGGATATGAAAATACAAACATGGTAAAAGATAAAATTACTCGAGAGGGATTTTGTTTCTAGATCAGTTGGTGATACAAGAACTGAAATCACAAATAAGATAATCATATGCCAGAGAGAGTAAAGATTTTTCTGTGTCAGTGCTTCGAGGATAGTACATTATTGCTCATTTTTCTCTTCCAGAGCAAATAAAAAGGGGAAGGGAACAAATACTGTGGTTTAGAGTCAAAGCAGTTACTTAAGTCTGGTGGCTCTCAGTTCATTGTGGAACCTAGTGTATCATACTATTTTTTCCTTCGTTTCCCATTCTGGTGAGTGCATATAACAGGGGTTTCTCATATCCTAGAAACAGAAGTTATGAAGCATGAAACAAAATGCATAACCAGGCAAGACATGAAAGTTAAGCTACAAGCGTAAAAGAATACTTGTCGTAAAAATTAGAAATCGAGGCAAACCCAATCATCATTCTAGAATTTGATCCAATAACACATGACAAAACCAAAACCTTGAAACAAAAAGAAGAAAAACAATCACTCACATTGGTTCCACATACCCAACTTGTACAGATTACAAACCCACACCACTGTCCATTTTGTTTGAACCAAACTATATACACAAAAAAGGCAGTCAAGGCACAAATTCCACATCCTTGAAGTATTCGTGCTCAAGGGCACTCCGAGCTGTGATCCTTCTACTTGGTTCCAAGTACAGCATTTTCTAGCACAAACACAACATCAGGTCAAAATGAACACACATTTCCCTCTATAGTAAACAAACATAAGCACTTATCTCACTCAGGAAAATAATGTCATTGATTCTGTGGAGTAAACTGTATTTTGGATGATGTAAAAAATACTTGAAAATTTTATTCTTGTAATGTTGTCTACGACATCCCTAGGCATCTGCAATAAGCATGTTACATGTCCATTCTTTGAGCATTTAAACAAAAGATGAACAGCTAGATATTATAGCAAACCATAAAACCAACTGCCAATACCACAAACAGGAAATTGTTGCATTTGCCTTTTAAATAATATAATAAATCAACTTCAAAAAAAGTAGATACTGGTAGTACATACCATGTCAAAACTATTTATAACTGCATTTTAACTAGCAAAAAAAAGCTACAATAAAACCAAGCAACATCCAGAAGGAAGTCAAACAAATTATTTGGAAAAGGTGAACAAGGAATCTTTGTATTGTAAAACAAAAATTCATTGGCATGCTTGATTATGGCATTGCAAAACATTTAAACCATAGGTTTATGAATCATTACTAACCATTCCATCTTCTAATTCAATACAAAAGTAAGGTTTAGTTTCCCAGGTGATGTTATCAAGAGCCACAAAACAGTCAGGAAGGCAAACTTACCGAAAGAAGATTGATCCCGGTTGGTTCAAGATTTGGAACAACACTTGCAAGGTCCTGTACAAAATAGGTACAGTACATGAAGAATAACTCTTTGAGATATATTATGAAAAAGAAAAACAGATTAAAACAGATTATAAATTTTCAGCAACAAACTACAAAGCGACATATGTACCTTCGGGGGCCACTTCGGAAAGGATGACTTGAAGTCTGGTAAAGAATTCACACCTGGCCAAGTTTCTTCGTTTGGAGTGCCTAGGATCCTTCATCATAATGGATAGGGTAAAACAAAGAAGGACAGGCAACTTGGGTTAATATAACTATTCAATAATTTGATGTCATGAAGATAAACTACACAGTAGATATAAAAAAGGAAAATGACACATGATAATAGATTAGATAAGGCCCCTCTTTATGCCCTGAGATAACACATACACATGCACGTGCACTCACACACAGCAAACGCACATGCACACACGCACACGCATGCACACTCGTTTGCGTGCACGCCACACACAAAAACGCATACTTAACTACAAAAGGAATGAGCTAGTCAAAAGACACACACTCATATTATTGACAAAAAAAGGAATGAGCAAGTCAAGACCCAATTCTACAAGTCAAGGGTCAAGAACCCAAGTTTTTAAACAATGATATCATGAAGGTATTGAAATTCTGAAACCAAACAAGTAAATCAACATTTTCATCATGTCATCATATTTCACTTCATCCTCTTACTTGTACTCTTCACATGACAGAAATTTGATAGTACAGGTATTGCTCCATATTTTGGAAAAGGACTGACAGAAGACCATAAGAAGACATCCAGACAAGACTCAATTCCATTATGTAAGGAAAACAAGCCATTATACTCAAAAGAATGAAGCACTACAAGGGTTGGTTAGCAATTTCTATGATAAGATCCGAGGCACCCCAGTAAAAATATCAAAGAGAACAAGATGTAATATATAGAGATTGTATCACTCAGTACAGAAGTTGGTGCCTTGGATATAATCTAAAGAAGATAGGAAGAGGAAACAACAAAAGCGACAAATATCTATAATAACTTATTTTATTTTATTGATTACCACAAAAGAAGGGTTATATCAGGTTTAACTGAAACAGTATTTAAGAGTTAAATAGCTTTTCCACAAAAATATTTGGATATCAATGAATCTCAGAAAAATTAACTGTTAAGAATAAGCATACTCATCTCACTTATCAGCCCACCTGAATATCTTAAACAGTTCATCAATCTCCGAGTCACCAGGAAACAATGGACGCTGATTTACCATCTCAGCAAAGATACACCCCACTGACCATACATCAACAGGGGTTGAGTAATGCCGTGAACCAAGGAGAATCTCAGGGGCCCTGTACCACAGTGTTACCACCTGGAAGAAGCTCACCATGTTAAGACAAGGCTTCAAGAAAGAGATATAAGAATACTTAATAGAAAATGATGGAGGAAATGAAAGTCAAACACCACAAAACCTCATGAGTAAACGTCCGGACTGGAATACCAAATGCTCTAGCCAATCCAAAGTCTGCAAGCTTCAATGCATTGGTACGACGATCTATTAGCAAATTTTGAGGTTTTAGATCACGGTGAAGAACCCTATGAGAATGGCAGTATGCAATCCCACGAAGAATTTGATACAAAAACATCTGGAGACAACATACACAAAAAGCATCAACATAGATAACACAATAGACAGTCATCCAAAATCTTTACCACGATTTTATTTATAGCTATAACTCATGGTTTCCAACCATTTGGTATACACAAAATCACATGTATACCAAGTGTGTGTGTGTGTGTGCTTGCATGAGTGGGTATCCCAAACAATTAGTGGTAGTTGCAAATAAAACAATTCTCATGGTTAAAAACAATTCTCATATCCTTTTTCAAAGTATCAATCAGCATTTTGCAACCTTCTTTTACAAGGATAAGAAGAATATAAGTGGGACCATTACCGTTTCCTAGTATTCCATCTTCAGATAAAAAGTAGAAATCACATTCAAATTCGAATATGAATACCCGCATTTTCTACCACACATTCCTTTGCAGAAAAAGAATGACTTTAGGGCATTAAGGCAATATACTCTTTCTTTGGATAGGTAACAAAGACAAAGTGAAATAGGAGTTGAAAATAATCTAGGGCAAATTAAAGAAGAAAAAAAGAGAGAAGTAAGAGGTTAGAGAGCAGCAAAATAGAGAGAGAGAGAGAGAGAGAGAGAGATCTTAAAGACGAAAGAAGAAAGAGGAGAAGAGACGTGAGAGAGAGGGAAGAGAAGAGAAAGAGCAAGAGAAAGGAGAGTAGTGTGTTGGTCGGGAAAGGAAAATGAGAGTGGTGTGTTGCTCAAGAAAGACCAACACACACCTCTTACTTATATTATTATGTTGATCTAATTACAATACTGCCCATTCTTAATGAAATAGGACATATTAGCCCTAAACAAAATAAAAGACATTTATACCCATCAAATACAATAATATTTGATTATTTCCAACACTCACCCTCAAGCAGGTGCATATATATATAAATCATGCCCAGCTTGCTTGTGATATCTTGTAGTCTATCCCATCCAATAGCTTTAATGAAGATATTTGCAAGTTGATCTTTAGACTGCATGAGGAGAAAGAACGATCTTTGCAGCAACCTTCTCTCTAATGAAGTGACAATCTACTTCAATGCATTTAACCTTTTCATGAAATATAAGATTCTCAAAGATATTAATGGCAGCTTCATTGTCACAGTACGAAGTCATGGGAAGCTTAAATTTAACCTCCAAATCAAGTAAAACACTTCTGATTCACATTACTTCACATGTACCATGAGTAATAGCCCTTTATTCAGCTTCAGCACTTGATATTGCCACTATATTTTGTTTCTTGCTTTTCCAAGAAACCAAATTTCCTAAAACAAAGGTTGAATAGCTAGTTGTGGATCTCCTATCAATTTGGCATCCAGCCCAAATAACAACATCATAATGCCCTTGATTCGAGAAAAATATCCCTCCCTAAAGCAGACCTGGGATATATCAATTTTCAATATAATGCATCAAGATGTGGTTTACATGGTGCATGCATAAATTAGTTGACCATACTCACGCATCATAGATGTTTGGTTGTGTGATCATGAGGTATATAAGCTTGCCCACTATTTGTTTATGCTATAGGAGTATCGGCTGGTCTAGATCCCAACATCCAAGTTTGTTGTAATAGGTCGAGCACATGTTTTCTCTAGGAGATGGCTATTCCTTTCTTTGATCTTGCCACTTCAATTCCCAAAAACCTTAGGAGGCTTAAATCTTTGATATTGAAATACCTTTCTTAGATATGATTTAAGATCCTCAATGTCCTTCACATTGTCCCATGTCACAACAATATCATCAGCATACACTATACGGGTTGTAATCCCAGCATTATTCTTCTTTACAAAGAACGTATGATCAGCCTGACTTCTTTTAAACCCAAATTTCAGCAGTGCCTTACTGAATTTTTCAAACCACGCTCTAGGAGATTGTTTGAGTCCATATATCGCCTTCTTTAACTTGCACATCTTTCTTGTCTCCCCCTTAATCAAAAACCTAGAGACATAGCCATATAGATTTCTTCTTGGAAATCTCCACATAAGAATACATTCTTTACATCTAGCTGGTGGAGAGGCCAAGATTTAAGTCAGCAGCTAGAGAAAGAATGATCCTCACAATATTCAACTTGGCCACAAGAGCAAAAGTGTCTTGGTAGTCTATACCAGGTGTTTGAATGAAGTCTTTTGCAACACCTTCTTCCCTTTAGGAATGTTGGTGATTTCCCATGTATTATTTTATTTACATGCTCACATCTCATCACCCTTAGCAGCCTTCCATTGACGTTGTGAAAGTGCCTCTACAACACAGCAAGGTATTCAAACAAAAGACAGAGCGGATATGAAGGCACGATAAGAAGAGACAATGAATTATAGGATACAAAGTTAAGTTCCTTATAAAATGCTGAGTGCAAGAACACTTACCCTTGCATAGAGGAAAGGCTAAGTCTAGATTATAACTCTCTGAGAAGGTGAAAGAATTACAGTCAGGAACAGTTCCTGATTCTGTTTTAGCATTCAAGGTTCGTTTAGAACATTAGGTTTTACCATCTTCTTTTTCTTGATATACATATTCAAATCCTTTACAAGGTGTACACCATTCTCTTTAGATAAAAGTGGTAATCAAACGTGAAGGGAAACCACTGATGTGCTCTCTTCACTAAAATGTATCTTATTCTCCCACTGAAGAGAGCACTCATGACTAGTGGGTGAAAAGTGGGGAACAGATTCAAAGAAAGTAACGCCCATCGAGATAAAGTGGATTTTGTAAATAAGATCATAATACTTGAATCCCTTTTGATGAGATGGATATCCCAGAAAAACACATATGGCAACTGTAACATCAAGCTTGTCCCTCTTTGGACCAAGGATGTGGACAAAACATACACAACCAAAAACTCTAGGAGGTAGAGATTCAAGATAAATAATCTCAGTAGGAGATTTGCCCTCAAGAACACAAGAGTGCAAGCGATCTATTAAACAAGCAACAGTGGAACTGCTTTACACCAGAAAATTTTTGGAACCTTCATTCCTAACAACAGAGCTCAAGTGACTTCCAACTAGTATTTATTTTTACTCTCAGCAATACCATTCTGTTGAGGTGTGTACGGACACATTGTTTGCTACTCAATCCCTTGGACAATAAGGTAATCTCTGAGTTGGTTTGACATATACTCACCCCCACTGTCAGAATATAAGACTTTAATTTGCACATTATATTGAGTTTTAACCATTTTATGATAAACTCGAAATAGATTAGCAAATTCATCTTTGTGTTTCATTAGATAAAAGTTGTTAATCTAGAACAAGCATCCACAAATACAACAAAGAAATGAAAACAAGCACAGAGGCAACTGGAGAAGGACTCCACACATTAGAATGTATAGGAGAGAAAGGAATATCACTCTTTTTATTAAGGTTGATTGGAAATGACGTTCAACGATATATTGACAACTCACATATGTCACACTAAAATTACACTTGGCTAAGTGACTAACACACTTCAGGAAATAAAGAACGCAACATAAAAGTTGACCATGACCTAGACCGGTGTGCCACAAATACACCCTTGATTAGCAACAGAAGACATGGCTGCAGTACCCAAGGCCCGATCTGGAGTCTCTAAAAGGTACAACCCTCCATCGTCACGACTACACCTAAATGTCTTCCCCATCATCAAGCCCTAGAAGGCAAAATAGGAGGGAAAAAAAGTTACACTACAGTTTAAAGCCTTTATGGGATTACAAGCTGACAGGAGGTTACTAGAAAGATTGGAGACATGCAAGGTGGAGGACAAGTTAACAAGAGTAATAGATATGCCTCCCTTTCCCTTGATCGAAATAAGAGAACCATCTGCTATTTTAATAAATTCTTAATTAAAATTAAAACAAGGACTATAAGTGAAAAAAAGCCATATCAATATGTTCAGCAGCTCCAAGGTCAATAATCTAAGGGGTTTTAGATGAATTTATAGAGCCATGTAGAGCCAATGTAGATATACTTAGAGGAAGGAGGGTCTCAAACGAAAGCTTGTGGCTTGAGATCAAGGAGCCATCTTTTAAGAATGGTCACCAACTCTTCTTCAGGTTCAAAGTAAATAGCATATTGCTCCCCATGCATAGCAGGAGCAGCACCTTGACAAATTGTTGCTGAATTTGCTCGAGAAAAGTTATGTCTAGGGCATCCAACCAGATCCTAACATGTATCCCGTTTGTCGCAAGTCTTACCACAGTGGATGCACTTGTCCTTGTCATCAAATGTGGGGCTTCTAGACCGCATCCACCACCCCAACATCCACCCTGACTCCCAAAATGTCCTCCACCTCGATTACCACTTGAACTTGAGAGTAGAGCAGATTTGTCTGTTTCGTTTATAGACAATGCCATTATCTTGCAGCGAGTTTTCTCATGTTGAAGAAGAAGAGAGAAAACAGAACCAAGTGATTGTAAAGTTTCACTGCCTAGATTGTATAACATTTGCCCTAATTGATTCATATTCCTCATTAACTCCTCTCAAAAGATCAAAAAAGCCTTCCTTTGTTCTAATCCTTCCCTTTGTTCGTTTGCACAAGATGAGTATTGTATGGGCTGATAATGGCTTATTTCATCCCAAAAACCACAAAGACAAGCATAATAATCTTCCACTTATAAGTTCCCTTGTTTAAAATTACTAATTTGTTGTTCCAAATCATAAATCTTTGCAATATTTTTATTTTGGCAATAAGCCTCAAAAATTGCATCCAGCAATTCCTTAGAGGTATTACAATTCATGAAAGTTCGACTTAGATTAGGCTGCATAGAATACAATAACCAATTCATAAATCCCATACCATCAGCCTCTCAAGTTGCATCTTGAGAACTGGTTTTTCTACTTGACCTTCAATATATCTCAATTTTTTCTTTCCACTAGAAATAATCTAACTAACCAGGCCCATTCTAAATAATTTGTTCCATCAAATTTAACTGTGGTAATTTGGAGTCCAAAATGCTCCATATTTGATGTTTGTTTAGACATCTTCTATTGCAGTTGAGTTCTTGTGACACCCTCATATCTAATCAACAGTTGAGATCAAGTTATACCCTCATATCTCTTTCAGAAAAAAGATATTACAGATCTAGTTACACCCTCGGATCTGATCACACCTCTTTTCTATTCTAAAAAACATTTAAAAACAGTGCTACCAATGTTTTCTTGATTGGGGTACACAAACCTAATCATCCATGATTCAGAATTTCTATCAAACACATGATCCACATCAAGAAATCACAAAAGAACTCACCTTGATCAACACAATCATTGCTGGAAAAAACTAGGGTTTCAGAGCATGATGAAAAGCCCTAACCATCCAATGTTGATGTCATCTAGTCTTACGATAATGACAGCCCTAAACCATATCCCCACACACCTTTTCTTCGACACTTTAACCTGGCTCTGATACCAAGTTTAAAATAGTCAAGGGCAAATTAAAGAAGAAAAAAGAAGAGAAGTAGAAATAAGACGTCAGTAAGTAGTAAGAGAGAAAAAAAAAAGAAGAGAGTGAAAGAGATGTGAGAGAGAGGGAGAGGGAAGAGGAGAGAAAGAGCAAGAAAAAGCAAAGTGATGTGTTGGTCATGAAAGACCAGCACACACCTCTTATTTATCTCAATATGTTGATCTACTTACAATACTGCCCTCTCTTAATGAGATAGCACATAAAGTCCTAAACAAAACAAAAAAAAACTTTATACCCATCAAATACAACAATAGTTACTTATTTCCAACAATATACTCAACAACATAAGCGCAGATCATGGACATCTAGACCAAATAATAGGCTGATATGCGCCAAACATGTAATCCAACATTAAACTAGAGACAACTGTAATTTCCAACTACATGGTCATATGAACAAATAAAGATCTGCAGAGGTTTTGATGAAAGAATGAATCAGCCACTCAAGCTTTTAATAATCTACTCATGCGGTGCAAAACTGTGAGTGGCCCAACTAGGAAAGCTTAAATGGTCCATATTGCTACGCAAAATTTGGATAGCAAAAAACAAATGGGTGGTTCATTGAAATCCTGAATGGCCGAATCTACCACCATTAATCAAATTTGGAGTTGCTAAAGACAGAGAATACTGAACATATTTTTTATTATAGAGAACTTAAAAGGTCCCTTTCATTTTTCCAATTATAAAGTCGTTGGTATTCAAATTTGAGTAAAGTCAGACATTGGAGCTAATTTTGCTGAACTCGTTTCAGCCCAAATTAAGAATTGGATGACAAAAGTAGCTTGTTTACCACATGTGCAGTACAGGAATACTGTTAACAATGCATCACTGCAATGTTTTTCATTTTATGAACTATAAATTATTTAAAAAGAAAGAGGTACATAAAGGAGAACAACCTCATATTGAGGATTACTTACCTAGGTGACCATTGGCCTCAAGCCCCCCCCCCCCAAAAGGATTGACACAAGAAGCTCCATAAAACTGGTAAAGCATAAACTCAGAATGTGAAGAAATATCTGGTAATAATTACCGTATGCCCTGATGTTATGTGCTGCATAGTGCAGCTCTTATTCACATGATACAACAGAACAACTCTTTCCTGCATGTGTGTAAATGAAAGAGTTACGGAGTCAAATGCATGTAAAATGCATGTGGGTCTTGTGCATGGGCTTCTCAAGGATGCATAACATGAAACCCCTCTTTTGGATTCCCTTCAACCTTAGATATAGTGTCGAACTCATCTAATGTTTTCATATGGAAGAATTTTGCAAATATGCAAGATTCTTTTGGATCCTATGTTGAACTCTGACCTCCCTCCTCCAAAATAATATCAAACTCACACGTCACAGCAACAGGTAATGAACGGTGTTACATCCTATTTTGAGAAATTTAAAATGTATAAGTTAATTTTTCTTCTGGACTGATTCACGTGAACTGGAGTTTACAGTTGCAATGGTAGTTCTCTCTAGGGTTAGGCAAAGGCTGAGAGGAATTCATTTGTGTCAAAAAAATAAATTTCCAGGTCAGGGAGTTTTTTACTCTCATTGTTAGAAAAAGCTAAACACATCTTCTTCATGTTGATTGATTCAACATACTTATAAAGCTTCAAGAGGTTACGGAATTAGGGAAATCAGAGAGGAAAAACTTCCTTCATGAACCATCTTTCTTTTTCTTATTGCAGTACCCTTGTTATCATTACCCCATATTTTCTGGTAAACTAGGTATGTATAATCTACCTCCCTAAAATCTCAAACCAGATGAGATTCTCAAAACCCAAAAACAAAGTGTTCCCTGTCCCAACTAAAGAATGAATCCACAACGTATTAAAAACACAAAGCTCATTGTTATCACTTTTCAGTCCAGCATTGTCAAATCTAAAGGAAAGGGTAGGGCATGAGAGGTAGACTTCTTCCAGATCAAAATGAACACTGTCCTACATGAACTGATGAGGAAATAATAGGAATCATCAACAACTCTAGATCAAGAACAGTATACAACAAAAGAACCATTTCACACATCAGCAAGACATAGATATTGCAAGAGACCCTGGGACCAGCATGAGAAAAACTTTTGAACAAATTTGAAACCAGCAACTTTGCATCCGTTGCAAGTATAGTCATTGAGATAAGGAACAAGTTTATGTAGACATGTTTGTGTGCCAAAACTCAATTCACTTAATTGGGGTTTGTGCCAAAACTCAATTCACTTAAATGGAGTTTAAATAGGTTTCCGTTTTTTCTTTTTCTTATTCATTATTGGGTTTAGAATAGTCAACATGACCATAGAAAAGGTAATTTCAATATCAAACGCTTATACTTAAGATTTAAGGCTGTAGGAAAAATAACAAAAAGTCCAAATTCTTCATTCAGCCAAATTTCTCCAGACACTCAACATAAGTCTGTCAAGCCACCAGAACGAATAAATAAGCTCCCATGTCTCAGACGTTCAAAAGTTAGTCCAAGAAGAGTCATTCAATTCCAGCCAGTTTGTGTTTGATTACAAGGAAGTTGATGGTATAAAACACATGCACATCTCTAGAGGGAGGAAAGATCTCACCTACTTTTATTACGCGTGGATCCTTGGAAAAATCCGGAGAAGAATCCATATGCTTTTTCAAGTCCAGATCCAGATACTCAAAAACCAGATACAATCGCTTCTCACTGTGCACTACATCTTGCAATCTGATGGTACAAAATCAATAAAAATAAATTGATGAGGAAGCAGTACCCCGGCATAATACCAATTCAAAATAACAAAAACCCACAACTTCTAATCCAACAAGCCAGACAATTGTACTCAGATGAAAATGTAATACAATCAAAAATTTCACTCAGTCCCTTTTCCAAGAAAAATGAGGAAAGATTAATAAATAAACTTACTCAAAATGAAAGAAAGCCACCTAATAAATAAACAGATTTCCACCAACATAAAGAACTAGTACCTTAAAAACATTACAGAGAAGAAGAAATACACATAAAAACACATAGAATAGCCAAAACATTACAGTGTTAATACGCAAGCTAAACATATTTCTAGCTTCAAAAATGTCTAATTTCACAAAAGCATTACAGAAAATAAGCAAGAACACTTACAAAGCAACCGAGAAGAAACAACATTTCATAGAACCAACAATCATCAAACAGATTTCCACCATGGAAAATAGCTAAGAACATGAAATATACAGAAATTGAACTCGTACTTCTAAAATTACTGAGAATATGTAAAAACTCACATCCGACAAATATCAGACATCAGAAGAGAATGCACAAAATACTCAGAAAGTACAGATAAAAAAAAATTACAGAATAAACACTCATGTCAGATAAATCTCCACTGACCTAAAAAGGCCAAAACATTACAGAAAATAAGCAAATTCATTCCTGAAAATTGTGAAACACCATAGACGCAAGGCAAAATATGCAGAATAACTGCAAAATCGATATATAGAACCACTTAACAAAGCTACAGAGTAAGGCAAAAGAAGCACAGCAGAGAAAGCAAAAAAAGTTATAAAACTAGAGAGAGAAAGTGGCAAACCTCACTATATTTCCATGCTGCATTTCCTTCAGGAGAGATATCTCTCTAATTGCTGTGCTAGGAACACCCTCATCCTCCTGCTCAAGCCTGATCTTTTTAAGCGCGATAGTCTCATTGGTCACACGATCGCGAGCCTTATAAACCACTCCATAAGTCCCTTCTCCGATCTTCTCAACCTTCTCATACTGCAAAGAGTCACACTGTCCAAATGTGAACGAACATGAGAAGATTATCAAAACGATAATAGATGGATAGATCTCTAGATAGATAGAGCAAAAGAGCAAAGCAGAGAGAAATACAGAAAGAAGAATGTGGAAACAAAGATTCATACACTCGGAATGTGATGTCGTGAAATGACTTACAACTGCGAGAGATCATCACAGAGAGATAGAGAGAAGAATGAGAGAGGGGAAAGAACACTGAAGAAATACTATACCAAAAATGTGATTTCGTGAAATGACTAACAAAAGCAAGAGATCATCAGAAAAAGAGAGAGAGTCGGATAGAGAGAGAGAGAGAGAGGAAACAGTGATTAACACACTCCAGAGAGAGAGATACTCAAGGACTCAAAATGTGGGTTCACAAATCAAAAAACACAAGCAAAAGATGAACAAAAGTACTGCTAAGCAGATGAGGACTCTCTGTGATACCAAGTCAACGAGAAACACAAAAAACCAGAAGCCGAAGACTCAAGAGCCTGAACAAAGCTTACCTGGTCCATTCAACCCTCCCCCCTGCGATCCAAAAGCAAAAATGCAGTGTCAAAATTAGGGCTCACACGAGGCAGAAAACAAGGCCTATCTGAGCAAAAGTCTTAAATGCCACTCATTTCTGTGAAAAATGGGATTAGAAAATGGAATGCGACCATTAAAATGCTAATTTATTGAGAAATTCAAGGGATATAGAGTAGATAATAACTGTAAATTTACCCCAATAACGTGGAATTAAGGCGGGAGAATTTGGAGCGAAGAAGCAGAGCCCTTTATTTGGTTATGTTTTTTAAGTATCTTTTCCTGCGCGCTTCTCGTGCTTGCGCTGTGAGTCAATCTCTGTATACCCCTAAGAGTATTTATTATAGAGCCCGAGTTTGAACAGAGAAGTGAAAAATAATAAAATAGGGGATAATTGTTTTGTGAATTTACCAGATATTATATTCTTTTCTTTTTTTTTTTTTTTTTAGGCTTTTGAAATTGGGTGAGGTTTTAATAAGGTGTCAACCATAAACAATCACAATAGGGTGCGCCTCAAAATTTCATTAAACATTTTCGGTGTCAAAAATGCCTAAAAGTCTATTTTTCACCCCTATAATGAAATTGAAAGCTTTGAAAATGGTGCAAATCTATAAGCCGTGGATAATCCTAAAAATAGTCGGTCAAGATAATCAATCGGAAAATTTTCTAATGATGAAATAACCTTTTTTGATGGGTTTTTTAGGTGCACCTTATCTCTACAGTATAAAGTTTACACTTCATATAAACTTTTTCCTTTGAAATTTGGGTGAGGTTTGTATAAAGTGTCAACCTTACACTATTGAAGTAAGGTGTACTTCAAAAGCTTTACAATGATATGAAAATCCCCCAATTATAAAATTTAAAGTTCGAGAAATGATAAATATCAAGCAGATCTATAAACACTTGAAAAATCTTGAAAATAGAAGGTTCAAATAATGTGTTAGAAGATTAACCATTTTAAAGGCGAGAAATCTTGTTTTTTCCATGTCAATGAGTTTCGAGGTTGAGATAATCGATTTGACAGTTTTCCAATATAGGGACAGCCTTCTCCAGTCAGTTTTTCGGGTGCTCCTTACTCGCGTAGTATAAAGTAGACACCTTATATAAATTTTTTCCTTGAAATTTTCCAATGTTATAACCCAAATGTATTTTTTTGGAACTTTTTCTTTCGTGTGTGATCCATCTATGTCTATGGCCGCTTTATATGATAAATTACGAAAATATCCATATCTTTATTAGTGAGTGGTAGGACGTAATGCTGCAAGCCCATAGCTCAAGTGCACACTCACTTGGGGCCAATGTTTGAAAACCATATCTCATACCAGCTGGGAAACCGGTCTAGATCGGTCAATCGTCAGGCGACCAGCCTAGAGAATTGGCCAATAAAAAAAAAATGAAGTTATTAAAAAATATTAAAATTTTAAAACTAATAAAAAATAAAATATAGTTTGGCCAAATTTCTTACAGAACCCACCGATTCTATTGGAAAACCAACGATCTTTATCGGGAACCACACAATTATCGATACACAGAGGGAACCAGACTGATCCCCTTAAAACCGATCAATAGATGTTCCCTTTCTTTGAACTAGTGGATTATTGATGCAGTCATACCTCTTCGTGACTGGGCCAAAGAGGAGTCGCAGAACCCAAAAGGGAAAAAAAGGGCAATGACGTAATAAAAAGAAATTATTATGGTTATTTATTATGATTATTTTAATTATTCTTTTGTTTAGGGAGTGGACAGAGATAATTAACAGTGCGACTCTAGAGTTTATATTGTGTTTATCGTGTATCAATTGCGTTAGTTTGATAGATATAATTAGGATAAAGGTAAATTTAGAAGAGAGTTTATCTTTATCAACAATAACTAACTTGAGAGATTTTTTTTGGATAAAACATAAGAGGGAAAACGTGGCTATCTAGAAGCACGTGGATATGAGAAAGAGAAAATACGGATAAGTGTAGAGATAAGCTTTTTATTAATTATCTTATTTGCGTCTATTTAAAGAGACATCTCCTTTCATTGTAAATCTGAATTGAATAAAAATTTGTCTCTTGAAGGAGATTGTTTTGGGGTGGATTCCCTTGCAGATATTTACGAGAGGGTATTTTTCTTTTAACCTTCATTCTTTTTATTGTCAATTTTCTGGTGTTATTCTCTCCCTGCATCAATTATGCTCTCTCTCTAGTAGACACCCTATATTTTTTTTTCTTTGGAGGATTGCTCCTTCAATTTTCATTTAGTTATTGATTATTTTCTCTGGGTGTGATTGATTTTACTCCCTCATTTTTATTAAAATCGAGTGATTGTGGTCAAATGATACAATTTCATTAAAAAATAAGAGCCTTATCTGGACAACGGCACATTTCGTATTTTGGAAGATGCATAATTCATGGAACCTAGAAGTTGTAATTATTGATGCCTAGAAGTTCTAGAAAACTCACTTGATAGCTCGTTTGGAAGTTTGCGAATAATACATCTGACTTCATAGTGATTCTAATAAAGCTTCAACATCATGACTTAAGGAAGAGGAATCAGGGATAATATGCATGATTAGAGAGAGTTAAAGAAGTAAGAGCTAGAGAGGGAGAGAAGAAAGACGATTAGAGAAATTAAGGATACGGGAGAGAAAGCGCATTGGTACAGAGAGAAATGAAATGTTTATAGAGCTAAACAATGAAATGACAGGTAAAGGAGAGGACACGATTAGAGAGAGAAGTGGAGTTAGAGACTGGAAAGACATGTTCAAAGAGAGAGGATTTAAAGATATAAAGGCCATTGTTAAAGAGAATGAGAGTTAGAGAAAGTTAAAGAGAGAACAAACATATAGAGTGAAAAAGAGGGTGAGTAGTGAGTTTCCTATCAAACATGATAAGTGAACCTTCAAGTAGGGATAGAATTGAAGGTTCTCATTTCTATGAGAACTGAAATCTCTGTAGAGTCAATTTCGTATTCCTCTTTAATGTTGTCAAACAAATAAGTGGTACTTGGAATTTTCCAGTTTATGGAGATGGACCTTCCAGTTATCAAATAAGTGTTTCAAAAGTAGAGCATGTGGATGGCAAAGTGCAGACTTTGCACAAACTGTGTATAAAAATTTAAAGGTATTTATCATTTAAAATTGGGTGCCCTTTGCATAAGGGGTCAATTTTAAGCAAAGTAAGGCACAACTCCAAATTTGACAAAACACGCAATTTTTATGCCAACATCTTTACAATGGCCTAAAATATATTTATCCTTATTATGAAATTTTAGGCTTGAAAAATGGTGTGAATTGAAAATGGACGGTTCAGATTATATATTTCAAAATGGACGGTTCAGATTATATATTTCAAAATGCTATTTTAGTGCTTAAAATTCATTATTTTTATTCATATCTATACATCTTGAGCATCATAACAACCTTTCCTGAGGGATTTCTAAGGTGAGCCTTACTTCTACATTAAAGTTGATGATTTATTTCCTTTTAAAATATTGGAGACATTCGTTAAAGATGATGGTACTGTAATAGAGGGAGTTAGGTGAATCCAGTTGTGGTGTGGAGGTTGGTGAATCTGCAGAGGTTGATGATGAGCCGTGCCTCCCCACCCTGCCTATACCCACACCGGTAGAACCTTAGGAACCTAGATTTAACTTGTACACCTGAAAGAACTAGCATGAGCCCAAACGCAAGTGACGAGTATTTGGTTGAGGGTTTGGGATGGTTGCTCATTGTAGCGATTTGAGGTTTAATATGTATGTTTAGATTTGGTTTGGGGTTGACAAAGTCTATTTGTCAGTTTGACTTTATGAGAAATATTGTTAATATATACTTGTCATTTATTGACCTTTATAGTGAAATAAATTCCAGTATACGAAATTATCTTTGCAAGATATACAATTATCTTAAGCAAATTTGTTTCATGTGGGCTGGACCGCATTTCTACATGTGGTCCAAAGCATCTTAAAGATGGATGCAAATATGTGGTCTTGGCCCACATGTTAACTGTATCCTTAACTTAATGTTGTTGATTGAAACAAATTATGTCGAACATGTCTTGAAAACTATTTTCGATTAGTTAAAATCATCGATCTTAGAACTCTGTTGAATAAAGGAAAACTTCAACTTGTAGAATTATGAAATTAAGTGTTTTGAGATTAAATATAAATCTTTGAAAATAAGTGTTATGTGCTTTGTAGAATTATTGAATTAAGTGTTTTGAGATTAAATATAAATCTTTGAAAATAAGTGTTATGTGCTTTCAGTTCGAACCACTGGCTTAATTATTCAAAAAGTGTTGAAAGAGGCTACTGCATTGACATTTCCATAAGCATTGAGGCTACTGCATTGACATTTCCAGAAGCATTGAGGCTACTGCATTGACATTTCCAGAAGCATTGAGGCTACTGCATTGACATTTCGATAAGCATTGAGGCTACTGCATTGACATTTCCAGAAGCATTGAGGCTACTGCATTGACATTTCCATAAGCATTGAGGCTACTGCATTGACATTTCTAGAAGCATTGAGGCTACTGCATTGACATTTCCAGAAGCATTGAGGCTACCAGTTTTTGGAATCTTGCTTTATTCTTCCATACATTTATAATCTCCTCTGCAGATGGTACTAGACACCAATCCTACCAACAACTTTCTATATTTTCTCTTCAAACCTACTCATCGACTGTACTCTCATGTATTTACACAATGTTATGATTGGCGTGTCCTGAGCACTTATAATCCATCTGTTAAATGACTCGGCTATGTTCGATGTTGTACCTAGCCCTAGGGAAATGGGCATTGGCCCAGTATTTCAAATTATATTGCCTTATCCACTCATTTGTATATGGATCAACAGTCTTTATCTGAATCATTACTTTATTGAAAATTTGGTATAGTCGATATATGAGCAGCCTTGCAAAAGAGCATTGTCAATACAATTGTGTTTGCTGACTTCTTCATAAACTTTTTGAAATTTTTTGTTAAATACTTCATGCAATATGCTAAGTAATAAGTAGGAAATAAATTTGGGATTGCTTTCTCCAGTGCTTTCAATCGGTTTGATATAATAGTTAGGGCAAGAAGATTGGCATGCTCTTCAAACATTTCATTTAATATATGTAAGAATTGTAGGACATATACCCCATATTTAGGGGAAAAGAGAGAAACTAAGTTTTATATTGATAAGAATTATGTAATAATGTTGAAAAATCATTTAGATAATTTTTGAGCTTTTTGGAAAAACTTTCAGATTTTTTAAACAATAAAAAATGTGATTTTCAAATTTGTTTAAAATAAATACCTAACAAAGACATCCTATGGGGATGCCACATGGATCC